CATTTCTGTAAATAAATTTGTATATATTTTTCTGTTCTGAGTTGTGGGTTGTTTTAGATAGCAATTGTGGTCGGCCTGGTATCCCATCGTAGTCCCTATTGTGGCAAAAAGTGCCAATCAACGGGCATGCTCTGGAGTGCGGGTAACTGATACCTGCACTCAAGTTAACACACTGTGCATGTATATGTTTACGATTTAACTCTGACACTTTTTCATTAGAAAGGTCCCCAAACTATGATACAACTTAATTAAAATTTCTTTATTAAACACTAGATCTTAATGGCGACAAGATGAGATCCTTAGCATAAGTATTTCTTAATTGAAATGTTTTAAGTTCTTTGATATCTGTGTATTACATAAGTTTCTCTTTTAAAAATGTTTTATTCCATATTTTCTTATGCGTATATATTGTAAGTTTATTAAAATAAGGACATCAAACAATTATATTTATTTATGCCTACAATTTCCTGACTTCAATTTATATATTATATATTATTCACGAAGTTTTCAATTCAAATATTGCAGAAATTTACACCACGTATGGACGAACAAGTAGTGAAAACAATTCGCACTGGTGAGTGTACATCACGATATTGAATCACGTTGCATGATATATTGTCAATTACCGTAAATACTGTTATTTCAAATATTCGTAAATATAATTGATGCATATGCATTGTAAGAGTGTTTAAAGCTATATTTCTGCTACTACAGTTTACAAAGGTTTTGTTTCAATTTTGGAAAAGTATAGTTTCAAAATGCTTTTATGAAAAACAAATGATGGTATATGTCATTTTGAGCGAATGACGAATGAACGAATCTGCTTAAAAGAGCAGCATAATATTTTGTTCTTGAATATTGTTTTTCTGAATATGCACAATGTTCATACATGTATAATAATAAACATAATATGTTACAACTATTATAAGAATCGACCATACAATTATGGAAACAAAAAGTATTTTGTTAGATATAGATTTATACCATTTAAACACAAGTAAATACAGTGAGTTCTAGCACTGAACATATTTAATTTAGATGAGGTAATTATATATGAAGAGAATTACATTCTTATTAGGCACCATATATATATATATATACCATACCTAAACTCCAATCATAAATACATAACATTGAAAAACTATCTATAAATAGAAAGAGTTCATTAACTTTTAAACCGCAGACTACAAGTATCTGAAAAATTGTAATAATTATTATATATTATAATATTAGGTGATAGAGACGTACATAGGGTCATAACGCTAACCTATTGAGTACAACTCGCTCCAGATAAGCTAAAACCACTTTCTATGATGATCTGATGATTTTCGTTAGCTCAAACTCGGAAGTCGTGAAAACCCACAACAATTCTACTGTAATAATTATGAAAATAATCGGTGATTACCAAATTACACGAGTCAGTATACGCAATAAAGGAAATAATATTTACATGTAACAAAACGTTGAAATATATCTTGATATCATCATTGCATGTAATTGCAGGCCAAATTATTATAAACTCCGTAAATGTTCGAGCCGCCAGACAATTATTTTTTCCTGTGCGGCTCGAAAAAACGGCTACAACATGAAAGTTACAATTTGGAATAACAATTTGTCTAAAGCCAAGATTACAAAACACTTAGTCATCATGACCTAGGGGCTTTTATCAAGTTGTCGTTGAAATATGTTTTCTTTCGCCTACATGTGGGTCTATTTGCTTTGGAAAACAACAACATGTTTCTCTATATGCTTTGGCGTTCAGGCTCTTGTAGGTAATGACAAGCATCTCCAGCATAAAAAAATTTATATGAAATCGAATTGGCTGGATTTCACGCGCCACCCTAGTTGCTAATTTAGATGCGCGAAAAAGAATAAAAAAGTACATACAAGGGAGACCAAGCAGCCTTTGTCAACATCCTAGTTGCTAATTCAGATGCGCGAAAAAGAATAAAAAAAGTACATACAAGGGAGAACCAGCAGCCTTTGTCAACATCAAAAATCCCTTTTAAAATCCTTAGACATCTTCGTCATTAATTACTTACAGTAAATTAATGAACTTTAAAACACATAGATACTTCATAAGAAGACGATGGACAACAATAAGGAATTGTTACTGTATACGTATTTTATTTACAAGTAGAAGACTCATATAATCATTTCAAGAGGTCAATAAACTTTGAATATACGTAACTTCAAGCGATACGTAAATAATAATAATATCATTAGTTCTGTAATAATTTCAGTGTATATTCGAATTATATATGATTAATGAATTACTAGTTAAGTTTGGCCAGAAATTCCGTTTGTCTGTCTAAGCAATCACAGGGTTTGAATTCGAGTCTTACACGGGTCAAAAGTATTACAATACATGTACACAGGTATAAAACATCATATATTGCTTTTGTTTCCTTTACTGCTTTTGATTTGGTTCGATGCCTTCTGGGTGCTCTGCTGGTATGGTTGGATTGTGTCTGTGTCGGGTCTGCGTTCTGTAACGTCGCCTTGCCTTGTTTGAATTCTTAACTCATTTTCTAAACAACGAGACATCTACCAAAAAATGCTATTGCAATTGAAACCATAGACGATTCCCAATGTCATAATGCAAAGGGAAAATGTAAAAACATCATTTGCATTGCACATACTCGTATAGAAGAATAATGAAGTATAGCAAAACTAATCATGAGATTTACTTAATTCATTCTGTTCTTAACCAAGTAACAAGATATATAGATAGTAAACAGGAGACAATGTATCCTTTTTATTCATACCTGTTTCGTTTCCAGACATTGGCAAACGATTCCTGATCAACAAAGCGGTTATAATGCGCCGGTTCTATGTACCAGACAACTCGTCTCGATCAGACGTCTACAAAAGCCTTGCAGAGATAATTCAGATGTCAAAACCTTTACCAACAGGTGTCGCTTTAAGAATCACATACCAGATTGCACAGACTCTCCATGTTCTTCACAACAGCTCCCTGGTAATGGGAAAGATTGAGGAAAATTCCATATTTATTCAGCTTAATGACAACAAGGTATCTGTTTCGAGAATAACAATAGAAATAAATCACTAGAATTAATTTTATAACTAGTTGAACCATTCAATATTTTTTTAATTGCAAGAAGTTTCACCTTTCTTATCTGGTGGTATGACGATATGTAATTTCTTAAATATTAGTGCATTTTTTCTAAGATAAATAATCTAATTTACTTAGCATAGTAAGATAAATTCGCTAGGTAGTTAATTATATCAACCGTTATCAAAGTAAATATATTGACACAATATGAATATTTTACAGGTAATCGGGAATGTTCAACTACAGCAGGAACCTATTCTTTGTAGACAAGATATAGATACATGTATTGACATGTATAATTTCGGAGCACTTCTTCGCTTACTTATGCGTATTTGCAAAACTTACGAATCATAATACTCATAAACGAGGGTAAAAGAGATCACAAAGAAATTCTGTATGCCTTTGGATCCGATTATCCTACAGAAAATATTTCTCCATATTTTGATGTTTGATTCTCTTCTTTTTGTTTGTGCGTAATAATTTTTCCAAGAAAAGTTTATAAAAAGTTGTTTGTGAAGCTCGATCAACAACCATTCGATCGTTCTAACATTACTACTGACAATCAGTAACTGGCTTCGATAAGATGTGGCGTTTTATTGAACATGCACGTCTTATTACATAAATTTTGTGAATTACTTTTAGTAAAGAGTGACAAAAAATGTCATACTTAGACTCACCAGTGTTTAAGGTTTTAACACTAGTTAAATGGATGAAATTCAAAGAAACAAAAAGAAAAAATGCTACAAAACGGGGGATATTTACAGACAGTAAGATTAATTACATCTATATAATGGGTTGGTCATTGAAAATCATATCATAATCAAATATTCAACCATGGTTATTTCAATTTTACATATCTTGATATCGAAAATTTAAATACAAAATGGTTTAGAAGACCTAATTACTGTTGGATTGGATGTCCCAAGTGATATTTCTACTTATCATCAAATGACATTTCAAATATTGGATTTTTACATTAGACAAACTTAAAAAAAGGCAAACGATATTAATATTTCTGGAAAAACTTTTCTTAATGGCTTTGCAAATATTTCATTTTGCTAACGTGTTATCGTACCAGTTAATGTATGTTGTCAAAGGTATTATTGTTAGGTATCTCTCTTTCTATAGTTTTCTTTTTAATTGTTTCAATTGTTGTATGTTACTGTAGTGTTATGTATTTATGATATATTGCCAGTAGTCATTCTCATACTGTTTGTGTTTAGAGATGTTATTGTTAATCGCTTTAGAAGTAAGAGAAACTTCTTAAAATCACCAGCATACAGCATCCAATCATATTCGTTGTTTGAGATAGTTTATGTCTTTAAACATTTTTATTGTGTGTTTAATTTGGCTTTACGTCACACCGACACATTAGAGGTCATACTGGGACGTTCCGGGTATTTTTAGATAATTTGTATTTGAAAAAATACAACGATATTAAGGATATTAAGGAGGAATGAAAGCTATTAAGACGGATTGAAGGACTTCTTGTGTAAAGATACGCCTCATTATACACGATCATTAACCATATCATGTATACTGAAATTATTGTATGAGCTTTCCATATAATTTGGATTTTTCAAAAACAGGGCATGTCTATATTTGATTTACTACATTTGCATCACAATATCAGAACGTGAACAAATGCTTGCAATTTTGAATACTGGTAATACCATTTTTTTCCCAAGAGATCTTTCAGTTCAAGTGACACTAAATACCGGTACCCTGTTTTTGCGTATTTATTTTTCAAAGACACTTAACGTCCGTTATAAAAGAATTGTGTTTGTGATTTTTTCATCGAAATAGATGGAAAGAAAATTGTGAGTGTTGCTAACTTCTAAATGAAAATGTGTACCTTAACTGGCAAATCATATATAAAATTGCAAGCAAATTTAATTCAGATTTAGTAGTGTTTTGAGGTGAGTTGTTGGAGAAGAATATCGGAGGAACTTTATGTTTAGCTCCTTAAATTATTATTGTAGTAATAAATATAAATGATGCATACACTTTTTGTTGTCTTTGCTCGCTAAAAACGGATAATAATTAAGCAACACACAGAAAATGGAGAATTCAATGTAAGGAATTTTGATACTGCATATACGGCCGATATGAAATAAATAAAGACGGATGTATTTCTATTTCGAATCATAAAAACATTATTGTAAAATTAGAAACTTGGAAACGTTTATATTGTTTAATTTTATTAGATAGTTAGGCATGTGAAGGCATTTTGAGGTACGGAGGGGTACATGTTATCTAGTGCGGTCCATACCTCTGTCGTGGATCAAGGGAGTTTGAAATAAATTGACAAAAGTTTTGAGCATAATGAGTCCTTGTTATCCTAGCAATTATTATAATCAATGCTTTACTTTGACAATTAAATTCATAATTGTTACTTATTGCGCTTTTATCTTTTCAGTTTTATTCTCCAACACAGACTAAAGGGAGAAATGCGTGCTCTTTAACTCTAAAATTTACCTTGTGAATATTAAAATAAACTGTTTTTATCTACAGTCATCTGTCTGACTTTAAAATGTCTTTTATAGCAAAATAAAAAAATATGAAATACCAACTTCATGTACATGTTTGTTTCCCCGTCATAACATCTTTATTCATATTATACGATGTCTCATAACATAAAGCGTGTTTCCCGGTTTGCTTTGAATCTGGACAAATCTCACAATGGACCATCAGTTTATATGAATATTTGAAACCCCCTTTTTACGCTCGTTTCACAGATTTTTATTAATAAAAGAATAACAATTTGATATTAACATCATAACGTAGGTTTTTTACGTTTTCAGTTACATAATCAAACGAAAAAAATCACATACATATACGTTAATATAAATAATCAAAACTTAATTATAAGATTATGTAAAATTTATTTTAAAATTATTATAATATTCTCCCGTATTATTTACTCTGTTTGGCTAATCATTTATAACAAATTAATTTCTTCGATTTAACCTGCTAATAGTAATTTGTTGATTAATGAGATGCAAAGTTTTTGGATGGTCCTTGTTAATAAAAAACATAACATAAGACTGAAATGAACAGATTACAGAATTATATCAACTATTGATATATAAAACAGTGGCAAAACTTTATTTTCAAAATATACAAAATAATTTAGATTTGAAATTGCTGAATTGAAAAACTTCATTGTATATATATTATACAGAAAATGAGATGTGTAGTAAAATGTAAAAAGATATTTGCCCCTTTCTTAAGTACAAGTTTGATCAATACGTAATGCAGGACTGAGAAACATAGATTTTAATTCTACAAATTACAATAGAAAAATAGACAATACTTATCAACGAATTGTATCCGATTTCTAAATGCTTATACAAAATACAGTTAAATACATGTACAGTTATGTTTTACATTTCCTATATTTACCATTTTTAAAGCATTTTGGTCCCGGCACATATGAACACCTCTCTCAAAAATATATATACTATCAGCCACAACGTACGGTGTAAATATACACTTTTACATCGTACTTTCTGACTTATAGTTAAAGAGAAGTTTGGACACTAGTGTTTTTGTTGCATGTTTTGGATATTTTGGTTCGAAAACTGTTAAAGATTAATTCTGAACATTTCTCAACTGGACAACAGGATGGTTCACCAGGCCACAACTTTCCTGCTGAATTTTCATCACCTTAAATTGGAGTAGAATCATGCAACAGTTCAAAATTATTCATTTTCATTTTTTGTCTTTTTAATTGTCTTTCTGTTTTCTAAATCCAAGACTATTTTAAAAGTACATGTAATTAAACTATATAATAGAAATTACTATGAAATATTTCAACAAAATCTCTAATTCTTTTGAACTTTTGTTGTTGGAAAACCAAGGGTCATTTGTTAAAGATTCATAAGATACATTCATTTATTTATCTATTTTTCATTTTTTTAAGTTAAAGGGATATTCAGGCAAAATAATGACAAAAATATTAAAAAGATCTTATTACTCAAATCACGCTAAAATGACTTTTCTTGAAGTTTTAGCATGAATTTCTGTATAAATTCTATATATTTTGGGTTTGAAGCGTAAATATATCTATATATCTATATGTTGAGCAAAATTAAGACGCCAACAGAATCACCAAATAGTTTTATAACAAGTCAGGTGACTTGAACAAAGCCTTGAAGTTACAATAACAGATATTGTGGATATTGTATGACTAAAACAAGCCTAGGTCATTCATTTAACATGTTCTTTAACGTTTCCAGAGTCCACTTTGACAACTATTGTGAAAAGCTAGCGCTCTACCTGACCCACGCGGGTCAAGTTAGGAAATCACCATGTTATTCTTTATATGGAGAAAAGTTTTGTTCCTTTGACTGTCTGATATATTCATTTTGAGGGCATTTACAGAATAATGAATGAAAAATTCAAAACTAAGAAATGAAAATTTTGCCTGTGTCTCCCTTTAAGCCAACCATTATATATATAACATATGGACTTTTACCGAATTTTATATCCGCATTTATGATATAAATCTCAAACTAAAACAGTATCGGATCAACATAACTTTTTAACATACTCTCTTTAAACAAAATTAGAATAATAACTTGGGTCTTTATGTGCCAAATTCATGTAATTTAAATATGCATCAATTTAACATTATTTGGTTACTTCAATAACTTTTATCACCAATCTATGCACAAGGTAGGGGAATACATTTACATTGATATCAAACAAAACAGAACATATTATCGTTTTAGTGTTATAATTTATTTGTAGAGATTTATAAATAGAATATAAATAGAAATTAAATCCCAAAAGAAATTCCGAAACGGCAAAACTGAAACATTGTGCATGTTCGGTTTGATTGGACCTGTTCATAGACAGTACTGGAAAGTGCTAGCTACGGCCCTAGCCCCCCTAGCATTTGCTTAAGCAGTATTCAACATTTAAACATGTCATGGTAAAATTTTGAATTTAGAAACATCCGTAGATGTGTTCATACGTCGATGAACATGGAACCTTCAATGTGACACATCAGTGTCATTTCGTAAAAAGCGGCATATGGTCCCCATAAAGTAAAATATGCTTGTGCCTTAAGCGAGAAAACAATAGGCCGAACTAAAATGAAATTCAAAATTAAAGGGGATCAAAGGTTATGAAGACAGATAAGCTGCCAAAGGGCCAATTTAAAAAGCAGGCCACATACCTAATCGTAATTATACAGTATTCAAGTAAGGAATACTGAAACCGTCCAAATAGAATGAGCAAAATAGAAAGAACTAAAATAGCACAAACACAACAATTATGCTGTGTTGAACAATCTTCAAGGGTCGGAAATAAGTTTTTATAAATAGTTTACATGTATTTAAGAAAAATGACTAATTTTTAAGATTAACCTCTCCTACCATTCAGGGTGAATAATTTCTGCGTTAAGATAAACACAATAGGCGGGTTCCCAAGGGATGGATATTCCGATCCAAACCGCAAACATATGTCAAATATTTTTTTCTTGCATATTCTGCCATATTATTTCATATTTTACTAAGTTTACCTCAATAAGATACTTGTTCATGGAAATTAATGTCAGTTCATCTACAATAACTTTAATAGCAACAGCGAAAAGACGTCATCCTAAGCACATAGTTCTCTTCTAAAAAACGTCAGTACAGAAACACTGATCGAATTTCTCATGCTTATTCTCAAAGGCAACAGCTTTATTTTCTATGACAAACATTTCCTGCAGATATAAGGCCCGGCTATGTTGGCCAAACTGGCACGTGTGTTTATGGGCAAATTAGAAGAACAATTGCCAGCTGCAGTTAAAATAAAACCATTCAGTTGGCTGCACTTTATAGATGACATTGACATGCAATGGTGTCACGGGAAAGAAGCTTTAAAAGATTTCCTTTTACAGGGCCAGTGCTTTTCACAAAACTATAACGTTCACCACAGACGAATCAAACGAACAGCATGTTTTTCTTGACACAGTGCCTCATATTAACGACAATCACATAATGACTGATTTGTATTCAAAACTCACTGATAAACACCAATACCTTCTTCGAAGAAGCTGCCACCCTCGACCTGGTCGCAAGAACATACCCATTAGTTTGGCTTTGAGAATCAAACGAACATGTTCATATCCCAACGCGTTATTTATCAAAGCAAAAGAACTCTCTGAACATCATCGGAAGAATATGACTTCTCAAACGAGATCTTAAATGCAGACAGCAAGCACGGGAATAAAATATAAGAGTACAAACATCTCATCCCGTTTTGTGTAACATACATTGTCTTACTTTTAGTAAATCAACACAAAACTTCTTTACACATGTAGATTATTTTTTCCTTTTTTTAATTCATAAGAATCGATATTTAATCTAAGTTATGCCACATTGTCCGCAAGCTGACTATATAATAACGGTCTTTTCAGTTAAATTCTTGATACTATACAGTAAATACGTATAGAGATGTTGTGCTCTATTTTGTGCACATTATACATGTAATACACCCCTAGTGAAGGCATAATACGCCGAAAGTACTTGGGTACTTAAGCACTGTATGAACGTTTATTTTCTCCCAATTTATTGTTTTAATCTATGTTCTTGTATCCTTCTTGGAATCCAGTGTTTTTGAAAGATATTTTGTAGATGCAAACATTTTCACAAACCTATAACATCAGTGTTGTGATATATATTGTAGTAGCAACCACATAGCACTGGACACATGCTGTTGTGAGTATAAAAGTCTAGAATAAGGAAGATATCCCCCGAGCGCAATGTAAAACAAAGCAAATTGTAACATAATTTTGCTGAGCTCACGAGACCAATCTCCTAGCCAATTTGAAATATTTTAATGAGGCAAACGTGTGCCTTTACTAATAGGAAATACAGAAAAAACTGCTGTATTCGGTATTTTCAATGTTTTAGTTGCCTTGTCCAAATACTTAAGGTAGAGTATATCTAATATTATCATCAAACCTAGCCATTTTCTCCCTATTTGCATTGGCCGCAGGTTTTCTGAATATTATCACCTTTCGAACAGTATGCTCAGTGAGGGTCCATTGTACTATGGAAATTTATATTTGTAGTTATCAATAAACTGTGTACTGATTAGCTCACCTCTAGCTAGCCTCTGTTTGTTTGTTATTAATTCCTGCGGTCTGGAGACCGCAGGGTATTGGTACGCGTTTAACTTTTGAGGCATGGAGGAGCACGTGACCTGTTTTCGGTACATGGAGGAGCATGTGATCTGTAAACCGTACATGATTGGTTAATTGACCTTTTCGAAAACCTAGCTAAATATCGTTTGCCGGTACGTTACGGATTTACCTGTAGGGAATTAGTCCGAATTACCTAGGGTTAGGGTTAGGGTTATTAAGAACAAAAAAACTAATACGTGATATTTCTAATTTTCTATAATTATTTTACCGTTTCAGGTGGAAATGTTTGAAAATTATCAACGTTTCTTTAATATCTATCTCAAATTTTGCAAACAA